ATTAATCCTTTCATACCCTTCCATCTTAATACAACAAACAGGATCTGATTTAAATCAATTCAAATGAGGCTTGTTCATGTCAACACCACATTCTTTTTTAGCTCCAATAACCCAATTGGAAAACTAATGCAATGCTAGTAGGGATTGGATTTCGTGGGCAAGAAAAGCCCCTGAATGATATAGATATTGATGAAAAAATTAGGAAAATAGGGTGAGATCATCAGTAATGAGCTTATCGACATCTATGGCAAAATATCCGATTCTCCAACCAAATGTTTAGCAGTGAAACAAGAATCTCACTAGTAAACAGCAAGAGGCCTATTTGCATCAATTTACATGCATTGGCATATAATTATTTCCTAATCTCACTTCACTTACACACAGTTCTCATTCTCCCACCCTGGATAGAAACTAGACAGGGGAAAGTTTTTCACATGAACTTCAGAGCGATTAACTTGTGGCTCCAGTTTGTTGCTTGTTGCCTTTCATCTTGGACAGCATCACCAACATCTCAGGCCATGCTCCTTGAATAATGTGCACCCCAGCCCCCAATGGGGATGCCAACCTGTCCATGGAGGCAGCCAGTTGCTTGCATATCGGAGGGGGCTCAGTATAAGAGCATTCATGGAGTCCTCTGAACTTTGAGTCAATTTGCTTGTTGCCTCTGACAAACTTGTCTGCTGCTTCTGTGTCTGTCTGTGCATTTGTACAAAGTTGTTGATTACTGACTTTTTCCCTTGCTGGGCTGAGCAATCATATGATCTGCAGCAGTCCTCAGAGTCCCAGTGACATTGAGCATTTCTTCGTTGAGCAGCTGCAGAGATATGACTGTAATGTGCTCAAGATTCCAATGACGCCTGCAGAGAATAAAAGAGAGACTGCGTCCCAAAAATGGTAGATGTTTGGACCTGTTAAGAGTGCATTCACAGTGTGGTGTTGGGAGAGCAGCAGAACAATGGCCAATGATTCTTACTTGGTCATTGGGACATGGAGGTTTCCTCAACACCACATGAATTTCACCAGCTAGGGCAAGATCCTCTCCTTGTAGGTAGTAAGAGGATGAATGCGTCAGACACTCTACCATCCATCTTTGCAGTTTCTGCCCTATTGTGGCCTGTTGTGTCTCTGAACAAAAGAAGGAGAAGATTGGCTGAAATGAAAATGCCTAGCATAGCTTTGAATTCAGGTGGGGGAAAGGTGTTGGAGGGTCCTGAATGAGTGAGTAGGAGGTACAGGATTATCCTTGCAGGACTAATAGCATTGGGAGAGGGTGAGAGTGAGCAAATAAGGGAAAATTTTGCATGCAATAGTGAGAGTAATAGACCATGAGCCTTGCGGGGAGGAGCATGCAGTGGCAGAAGTGTGAGGTAGCAGAGAGATGTGCCTGGCACATCTGCTCGCAAAGCATGTTCCTCTGGACTGTCAACACTACTTACCTAGTGGCAACCTTGGACTGGGCAAGCAGGGTCTGGTGCCTTGGTGTCCTTTGCAGGTCCTGAGGAAAGTGGTTGGGCCTTCTCTGTACCACCCAGTCCACCAGGACCCTGTTGACAGAGTGAGATGCCAATTTTCTTCTGTTTCCCACGCCTGGGGCAATTCATGAGATGAAGGAACTGAACAGGGCAGCTCTGGACCGATAATGCTGGACCTGGGGTACAACTGCATTTTGATACATTGCAGGCACTGGGAATCACAGAAGGCTGTGGCTGTAACAAGAGGGAAGACAGAATGAAAGGGTGCTGTAGAGGTGTGATGCTTAGCTAATTGTGCGAGTTTCAGAAAGTAATGTGAGAAAACTCACCTGGGCTCGCGGAGAGAGACCCTTTATGAAACTCGCCAAAATTGATACTTAACTGATTTCTAGTAAAATTCAGCTCTCTGACTGTCACGACATCAAAACTACATTTGTGGATGATAATTAATGACACAATAGCACGGTGTTGTTTTCATGTTTCTAAAAACAGTTTAAATGTTTTTACTAATAGCATAAAATGAAAACCTAGTCATGGTTACTAAGTTAATGTACAGCTTCAACAAGCGCTTTGTTATTCCTCTGTGTCCTTAGTACATATTAGATTCCAACTGAAACTGAATGCTAATTCTTGTTTTTTGTCCAGCGTCTGATCTGTTAAGGTCAATCAAGCCCAGAACTAATGTGATCATAATGTAAAGTCTACCTCATGCGTTTTCTTTTTTTGAATAGTAACAATTTAGTTGCAGAATTTTCTTAACTGGTTTTCTCTGAAGGACAGAAGTGTTGATTTCAGATGTGTTATAAAATTGGTCACTACCCAATAAGCTTTCTTCTGAGATAATCAATAAAATTAAACATATTCTCCCAACCTAATGGTCTCTCGTAAGCATTATGGAACATGAACTCTCATGAAATAGGGATGACAATTGTAAAGCTACATTTTTTTTGTTCATTTCCAACTGCGCTGAGAAGGAGGTCTTTGACGCACTGTAATCCTTGTAGGGATGGTTCTTTGTCTGAACTTGCCGGATATTGGTGCAGTAATGATAAAAATGCATAACATATGAAAATGTATTTTATTCCATGTTGCAGCTGTTATGTTAAGGTTTAATGCCTTCCCTGGTTAAAAAAAAACTGTGAATTCTTCAGCGCTGACAATCGTTATCTTCATTGGTGCAGTTGCACCTAATTTATTTCCTAAGTTTGTACTACAAAGATCATGTTCCCATCCAATTTTTTGGAAAGTGGTTCTTTGGTTACCTTAATTATACTTACTTTCTTTAAGTTGTACATGAGAAAATAAAGATGCATAACAATTCTATGACTTAAGAGCATAAAAAATAGGAACATTACTGAACCATTCAACCCCTTGACCCTGCTTCATCATTCAATAAGATCATAGCTGATCCAATTGTGATCTCAACTCCACTTTCCTGTCTGGATCTCTTCACCTTTGACACTCATATATATCCAATACCTGTCAAGGTCAACCTTCAATTTTTCAATACTCAATGATAGAGAATATTCAATGTTCAATGATAGAGATAGATTTTGAATAGAGAATTCTGAAGATTAATTGCCCTTAATACTTGACTGTCCTCATGAGGGAAAGCATTCTTTCAGCATCTACCCTGGTAAATCTGCCAAATTATTCGTTGCTTCGATAAAATGATTTCTCATTTTTCATCATCTTCAACATTTCATCATAAGACATCCCAGGAATCAACCTAGTAAACCTCTCTGAAATACCTCCAGTGTAATCCAGGGGGAGTTAGTGGCATTGTGGGAATGTCCCTTGCCTAATCCTAAGGCATGGGCTAATGTTCATTGATCATAGAATCCCTACAGTGTGGAAACACGCCTTTCGGCCCAACAAGCCCACACGGACCCTCAGAGCATCCCACCCAGACCCATCCCCCATAAACCACCTAAGCTACACATCACTGAAAACTATGGGCAATTTAGCATGGCCAATCCACCTAGCCTGCACATCATTGGACTGTGGGAGGAAACTGGAGCACCCGGAGGAAACCCGCGCAGACACGGGACGAATATGCAAACTCCACACAGAGTCACCCGAGGGTGGAATCAAACCCAGGTCCCTGGCACTGTGAGGCAGCAGTGCTGACTACTGAGCCACTGTGCCGCCCAATGCATGTTTTCACACCCTACCATGGCAGCATTCCACCGTGGTCGAATTTAAATGCAGTTCACTAAGTATTGAATTGAAAGGCTACCGTTAGCAATCGTGATCATAAAGATACCAACAAAACCCATTTTATTCACTAATATCCTTTAGGGCAGGAAATCTGCAGTCTTGACCTGCTCTGACTTCTATATAACTTCAGATCCAAACTAATGAGGCTAACTCTTAACTGACCTGTTAACTAGCCACTCTTCAAGGGCACTTAGGGATGCAAGCCTCACCACCACATCCAATAAAAGAATATATATTTTTTTTAAAAATCATCCCTTTTTAATGGGTCCAAAACTGTATTCAGGATTTTTGGTATGTACACACCAATGTAGTACAGTTGAGCAATGCTTCCTTACTTTTATACTCCATCTCTTTTGCAATAAAGGGCAGTTCATTTGTTTTGATGTGACTGCATGCTAACCTTCTGTGATATGGAGACATCAAGATCCCTCTGTACTTCAGTGTTCTCTGGTCTCTCTCCATTTAATTAATGTATTGCTTCCTATTCATTCCTATCAAAGTGGATAAACTTGCATTTTCCTATTATGTAATTCATCTGCCAGTTTCTTCTCCCCCACTCACTTAACCTATCTTTTTGAAGTTTCTTTGCGCTCTCCTCACAACTTTCTTGCCCACCTAACTCTGTAACATCAGCAAATTCAGCTATTATAAAATCTATCCCTTTGTCCAGGTCATTAATATTATTGATTTGAGTTGAGTAACCTTTTAATAATATATTAACCTTTTAATAATACTTAACATTATCTGGAAAGCATTATCTGTTAGCCAATCACAATCTAAACAAAAAGAATGTACAGACTTATGAGCAAAATATTTATTTTTGTTACACTCTAAATATTTCCATAGAATCCCTACACTGTGGAAATAGGCCATTTGGCCCAATAAGTCCACACAGACCCTCCAAAGAGCATCCCACCCAGACTCATGCCCCCTACTCTATCCCTGTAACCCAGCATTTCCCATGACACATCCCTTGACACCATGGGCAATTTAGCATGGCCAATCCACCAAACCTCTCACATCTCTAGACAGTGGGAGGAAACCAGAGCACCCAGAGGAAACCCACACTGACACGGGGAGAATGTGCAAACTCCACATAGACAGTCGCCCAAGGGTGGATTTGAACCTGGGTCCCTGATGCTAACCACTGTGCCACCCCTAGGTTATTCTTGAGGCATCTATTAAAAACAAATGATTAGAACAGAAATATATAATATAGCTTCTAAATAGCGTGAAGTCTGTCATTGAAACTCTTCTGCAGTGTTATCATATTCAAGATTATTTTTAAATTTTGTTTTTGTGAAACAGGTATGTGTGTTGGAGAGACAGATCTTTGATTTCCTTGGCTACCAATGGGCACCAATCCTGGCCAATTTTTTACACATCATCACAGTCATTTTTGGCCTTTTTGGGACCATCCAGTTCAGACAACGATATGTAATCAGGGTGAGTAGAATGTTTGAAGTCCTAAAAATTGTATTATTGCCTGAGGCAAGAGATATAGAGGGCAGTGAAGCTGTCAAAAAGAGGATGTTCATTTTTCATGCTACTTAAAGAAATAATTGAACTGGAAAATTAAACAGAGAAGATCGCAAATCACTTTGTCTTATTTGGTCCTCAGGTTAATCATTTGAATCATATTAAATAATGATATAATTTTCCACCATTTTAATTTGATATATTGATGCAAAGGATCAGTTACTTTCATTGGTTTGTTACTGTAATATTTTCTGAAGCTATGGACCATTATTTTAAATTGATAGCATACACCTTACAATAAACTTTTACACTGAGTTGTGATATCACAATGAGATTTATAATACATACATATTTATTGCAATTTCAAAATTCCTAAAATTAAGTAGTCAAAACACTGAGATGGATATAACTAGATAAAGCATTTCTGAGTGCGTACTAACAACTGTGTCGATGTTATCCATTTCAGTGCTGAAGTAAAGGTCACTATAGAGACTTTGAATAGGCTAAAGATGAACGTCATCTTATTTTCCATTGATCACTATGTTTATTAATGTTTTAAGCAAGAACACAAGGACTTTATCTTGTAAAAGTAGGAAGGATGGAAAAGAATGTCACTATTCCCCATCCGGAAGAGCACATATTGTGAAATTAAATTACTCCAACATCAACTGGTTTGTGAGCAGTTCATTGATATGTGCTTAAAGACTTGACTGGCAATGTTGAAACAAAACTTTCATCCCAAATTTCTTACATAACGGTTATAATTCAAATTTTCCTTTGCCTCATTTGCCCCATGTTCTTGTGATTGTGTTACCACCAAGGCTGGAGAATGCACAGTCACTTGAGCCCCATTAATCCATGGGTCACAATATAAAAGAAAAATAGATTTCCCAATTACCAAGATGATTAATTGAATACCTTGTCTCTATTAGATTTTAAGTAAAAAGATCTGTCAACGAGATTTCTTAATAAACATGATTATTGATTTATTATCAAACTAAAACGTATTCAATGAAGATGGAATATACGACTAATATACACATTTGGTCACAAAGAAGTATACGTTTTTATCCCTCTGAATCACACACACCAGGAAAAGAATGAAAAAAAAACACACATTTCTCTGCAGTGATTGGCATTCTGAATAAAACATCTTGTCCAATTGGTTATTCTTGGAGGCAAAAAGAAAGAAAATAAGAAGTTCCTAATTCTATTGTTCTGAAGTTTAGGCACATATGATCAGGTCAGTAGTGATGCATTGGAGCCTCGGCATAGCTTGCTCAAGAAATGCAATATTGAGAATTTTTTTTCAGAATAATAATTCGATTTCATTCTGAACTCAGCAAGACAGCTCTTTTTAGAAAATACGAGTGATTACCTGGGCAGTCCTTCTTCACATGCTTTCCCTTCCAGATTCCAAATACCATACATCCAATCACTGATCAAACGCACCCAGCAGGGGCCTACAACAAACAAAGTTATCACCAATCATGTAATATTTAGGAAACTTATATTAAAATATTCAGTGTCCACAGAGATCTTCCATAACTTCTTTTAAACAACCAACTCCAGGTATTTCCGCAAAACTTAAAATAAATCTGTGTTTCCACAATGCCTCAAAACTTGAGTCCACCAAGAAATATTAAATTTACAAATCTTTGAAACAATTCTAATTGTTAAATCTTGTTAATTTGGGAGTACTAATGTTTATCTATACAAAAACACAGATCACAGTGTGAACTGAATTCAGTGTGAACTGAATTCATTGTAAACAGAATAGTGAGTTGAGAATTTCGTGAAAGTGGAAAATCCAAGGATAGGGGAGAAATGTTCTCCCTTTTTCCTTGTACGGTTGTAGCACTTCTCATTTGTAGTAGTTTCCTTATGGTTTAGGCAATAAGTATCTAAAAGGAGGAATTCTGAAACTAATATTTTATTAAGTGAATAATTAAGGTTTGCTAAATGGAAAGATTTAATGGATAGAAACATGGAATAAAGGAGCAGGAGAGTGTCATCCAGCCCTTTAAGCCAACTCTGCCATTCAGTGTGATGACGGCTGATTATCCAAGTCAGTACCCTGTTCCCACAAGCTCCCCATATTCTTCAATCCTTTTAGACCTTTGAATTATAATTGCATTTTTCTTTGGAAAGTTTTCAATGTTTTGGCCTCAAAGGTTTCTTTGAGAAAATTCCACAGGCTTGGCACTCTCTGGGGGAAGAAATTTATCCTCATCTCTGTCCTAAGAGATCTATCCCTTATCCTTAGGCTATAATCCCTGGTTCTGGACTCTTTGGTCTTCATGAACATCCTTCCTGCATCTACCCTGTTTAATTATGTTAGAATTTTATAGGTTTCAATGAGACTCCCTGTTCATTCTTCTGACTTCCTGTGAATATAGTTCTAAATAATCCAGTCTCTCCCTATACGTCAGACCCTCCAACCCACGAATCAGTCTGCTACACCTTCTTTACATGCCTGCAATAGCCAGAACATATACCTCAGATAAGGAGACCAAAACTGCGCATAGTAGTCCAGGTGTGGACTTACCAATGCCCTGTATAATTGCAACAATGCATCCTTGCTCTTGTACTTATAGAATCATACAGCATGGAAACAGACCTTTCAGTCCAACTCATCCACACTGATCAGATATCCCAATCTGATCTAGTCCCAATTGCCAGCATTTGGCCCATCTCCCTCTAAACCCTCCCTATTCATATGCCCACCCAGATGCCTTTTAAACATTGTAATTGTAGCCGCCTCCACCACTTCCTCTGGCAGCTCATTCCCCATGCGCACACTACCCTCTATGTGAAAAAGTTACCCGTCAGGTCCTTTCAAATCTTTCCCCTCTCACCTTAAACCTATGCTTTCTAGTTTTGGACTCCCCCATCTTAGGAAAAAGACTTTGGCTATTCACCCTATCCTTGCCCCTCATGATTTTATAAACCTCTGTAACATTATCCCCCAACCTCCGAAGCTCCAGGGAAAAAAATGTCCTAACCTATTCAGCCTCTCCTTATGGCTCAAGCCCTCCAGTTCTGGCGACATCGTTGTAAATCTTTTGTGCATCCTCTCAAGGTTAACAACATCATTCCCAAGAAGAGTGACCAGAATTGTACTCAGTATTCTAAAAATGACCTAATGCCAATATAGCATTTGCCTTCTTCACCACCTGCCACACCTGCATGCTTACTTTCAGTGACTGGTGTGCAAGAACACCAAAATTGCTGCACCTCCCCTTTACCCAGTCAATTCCCATTCAGATAATAATCTGCCTAACTGTTTTCATTACCAAAATGGATAACCTCAGATTTTTCTGTATCTAACATGCATTTGCCATTACTTAACTTGTCCAAATTACACTGAAGCTTCTTTGCAACTCCCTAACAGCATACTGTCCGACCCAGCTTTGTGTCATCTGCTAACTTTGAGATATACCACATAGTTTCATCACTAAATCATTAAGATTTATTATGATAGCTGGGGCCCAAGCACTGATTCTTACGGTACCCCACTAGTTACTGCCTGCAATTTGCAAAAGACCCAATGTATTCCAGCTGTTTGTTTCCTGTCTGCCAATCAGTCCTCTATCCATTTCAGTACATGACCTCCAATCTCATGCACTTTCATTTTGGATGTTAATCTCTTGACTAGGTCCTTATCGAAAGCCTTCTGAAAATCGAAGTAAACCACATCTTCTAGCTTCCCCTTAAGTAGTTTACTAGTTACATTCACAAAATGTTCAAGTAGATTTGTCAAGTACGATTTCCCCTTTGTAAATTCATGCTGACTTTGAGTTCAGTGTTTGTTATGTGGAAACGAGATGGCTGTGATGCTTGTTAATTAAATCAATCCTTGTTAATTGTGGTGAGACTATGAAATTGAATAGAATGCTTTGAAATTAACAGAACTATCAATAACAGTAAGTGGAAGAACTGGAGTGTTTAATTCAACTTTATTTGTAACTGACTCAGGTCTTACAAGTATAGACTAAAATGACAGATCCAAATTTAACGTGTTTCAGCCCTGACTAGCTACAAGACCTTTCAGGATATGTATATGTTTTCACATGTTTCACGGGATTTATTATGGTTATCACAAAAGTACAAAAGCATAATACTGAATGAAGGTCAACATTGGGACACCAACTTGCAACTTTTGGCTGACTGAGCACATGTCTCTTGCTTTGTTCTGTTCTATTGTGTGAAATTCTCCTATATTTTCTTCTTTTTACATCACATGTAGTTAAAAGTTGCTACTTATTCATCCTTGGTAGCTGTTATCCCCTGTCCATGGTCAACAGCATTCTTGATGTGGAGGTGTCGATGTTGGACTGGGGTGGACAAGGTCAGAACTTACACAACACCAGGTTATAGTCCAACAGGTTTATTTGAAAACACAAGCTTATGGAGTCTAGCTCCTTCTTTGCGTGTTAGTGAGAGAGGTAGTTTCAGACACAGAATTTATAAGTAAAAGATCAAGGGGTCACACCACTGGCGAGGATGTATTAAACAACCTAAGATGCTGTTAAATCTTCAAACAGTTAGAAGGTTTTAATTGATTAAAATGTATATATAAATACTTGAATTTCTTTCAAGTCATGGCCCTGAGAGAACTAAAGGTTTTATCAGTGTAAAGAAGTGACATTTTATTCAGACAATGCATGTTAGGTAAGAGGGCTTGTTTAGAATCTGTTTGTGTTTTGGTTTGGAGTCAGACTGGTTTTATTTCTAAGGTAGGAATTTATAAAACGTTGCATTGATTGACAGTCTATAAATTGTGTGCTTTTTGAACAAAATAGAATGTATCTGCAAATACAAATTAATCCCATAGATTTATATGTGAGTGTGCGTGAGGTAGAGAGTGAGTGATGAGCGTGTGTGTGTGTGTGTGTGTGTGTGTATGTCTGTGTGTGTGTGTGTGTGTGAGAGTGTATCGTGTGGTGGGGTCACCTGCAGTGTGA